GATAAATAACCGCTACTCTTAGGTCCTTCGATGTCATCCGTTGAGCAGAAACATATGAAAAATGTTTACATTTTTAAAAGTTTTTTTTTTATGGACCTTGCGCATATGGGTAATAATGTGTACCCACAGTGGATATAGTAAGGACATATTTTTGTACGGCACGTCAAGGGCCTAAGCTTGTGTTTATCATGTCCCCTAAGAATGGAATTGGAAATTTCATGTAAATCGAAATCGTTTTTAAAGATGTCTTCGGAAACCATTTCAAAAACACATTAGTTATTTCATCATTGCTTGCAATAAAACATGTCATAGCAACTTCTTTCATGACAGTGCGTTCCAAATGAATCGCAGGAAAAATAACCTGTCAACTTTTATTTTTAAATCTAAAGTTTATGACCAGATGCCCCCAAAAAAGAATACGCCTACAATTTATTGTTGACTCATTTTCGCCACACTTATCACCCCACCCCCTTAACAGCATAAAAATCTCGTCTCGCTGTTATTTGACAATGTTGATGTCGTGATGAATTTTTCTACGAAAAAATAAATATGGCAAAAAAATATTTTATTATTTAAATTTATTATAGAAATACATTCATACGAATTTAAGAGAAATGCAGAAAACATCAATTACAGACATCTGCGAAAGGAATTGCGAATGCAATTCAATTTTATTTGTGTATGTGGGGATATGGAGGAGTATTTAGCCGAGTACGATACCAATTTGATTAGTATTATTGTCAATAAAGTATCTTCATTTCCATGGAATTCAAGGAATTGGTTGACCATTCGTTTGAGACTCTTCAAAATAATAATTTCAGAGCATGGATAGTTTTTAATTTTTTGGATACCGTAGCAATTTTTTTATCCGATAATGACACTATGGTCAGGTTATTAATTCAAACAAAGTCTAGCAACATGGAGAAAGAAGAGAGATACCCTCCCCCCCTTTCCATTGATGACCTACATAGAATTTATGCATGTCCGTCGGTTCGTCCGTCCGCCTGTCCATGTTTTATTGTAAACAAAATACAAATCGCATTTATTGAACGATGGAGATGAAATTTGCCACAAAGCCCTACTGAAATTGGAGATAATCGGTCAAAATTTATGTATTAATCCTATATATTTCATCGTCCGATTTGTCTTGTAATTTAAAATTTGGCACATACGACCGTATTATTCCTAGAAGTATATATGTAAAATTTGGTGAACACAGCCCCAATATGCACTCCACAACAACGATCTTCGAGAAAATATATAAAATACAGCTCAGAAATACCTTTGCCAAATTTTATCGAGATTGGTTCAGATTTAGATATAGATCTCATCCAACAGGATTAACTTTGGCACATTCGGCCGAATTTTGCCTGAAAGTTAAAAATCGGTTCAAATATAGCTACATCGGAGCTATAGTTTTAATGTAATGTAAATGTTTTAATCATATCATACCCTCTCTAGCAATGATATTTGGATTGAGAAGCATAAATGCCTCCTTTAAATTTAGAATGAAATACATTAGTTTCTTTCCGTTTCAAATTATGTCTGATCTAAAACCATAGTAAGCATTCAAGTCGATCTCATAATCTGCTTCACATAAATTTCCAATACAAACGTTCATTTAGCGTAGCTCTACTAACTATGCAAGGTATCATAAATTCGGCTCGCCCTCCTTTTCACATTTCTTTACTGGGTTTAGTTAGCTAGCCTTCTGTATGGTTTGAATTGGCGATCTGCTGATTGGTAATCGGACACACAATGCACTTAGCCACTTTTATGAGAATTTATTGTAATTAATCGACGTGTATGCGGTGGTGAGGACATTGGAACCAGAGACTTTAGGTTTTGTAGTCTATAACGAGTGGTTTTGAGTAGGACTTAACCCATAAACCTTAAGTGAAACACGAGTCGTTATAATTTCTATTGATCTAATATTCATTTTGCGTCATCGATGGTGTTGACTTGTTTGCAATCGGATGTTTGTTGTCGGTTCGATGGTATTTGACTTGACGGTAATCGGGATATATCACAACTGTCGGTGTTCGGATGCTGTCGGTTCAGGTGGGTGGTAGCCGATTCGACAGTAGTCGGGTGTGTGACTCTGCCCTACGGCAATCGGATGGCTGTCGGCTCTATGGCGTAATCGTGTGGTTGTTTTGTCGGGTTAAGCGGATGACTGTCGGTTCAACAGTTGTCGTGTATGTGGCTCGGCTCTGCTCTACTCGGATTGTGTTTGACTTGGAATAATCGAGTGTCCGTCGTGTCCAAGCAATCGCGTGGCTGTTTGTTACACAGTAGTCGGGTGTGCTTTGTATTATACTTTTTATACCCTACACCACAAGGTGGTCAGGGTATTATGTCTTTGTGCATTTGTTTGTAACAGGGACAAAAAAAAAACGAGATACACCCATAGTTCCTTTTAATGATCTGCATAAAATCACATTCTGAGTCGATTTATGCATGTCCGTCCGTCCGTCCGTCCATTTATGTTTGTAAAAAAGTACAGTTCGCATTTATTGCCTGATCCAGATGAAATTTTGCACAAATCATTTGTTTTGCACAAGGACGAACCTATTGAAATTGGAGATAATCGGTAAAAATGTAGATATAGCTCCCATATATATCTTTGTCCGATTTGCTTTTTATTGTGCACCAAACGTGTAATATCAGCCCGAATAGTATGGAATTTGGCACATACAATAAAATTAGGCCTGAAAATAATTATGACAAATTTGATCGAAATCGGTTCAGATATAGCTATAGCTCCCATATATATGTTCATCCGATTTGTTATTTTTGTCCTCCGCAGCCGTAATATGCACTTTGTAACAACAATATTTGGGGAAATATATCAAATGCAGCTCTGAAATACCTTTGCTAAATTTTATCGAGATCGGTTCAGATTTGGATATAGCTCTAACTTCGTCCGATTTACCTTTTATTGTGCATCAAACGTCTAATATTTGCCCAAATTGGATTGAATTTGGCACATACGACCGAATCGGTCTAGCCGTATATGCACTCCATAAAAACAATATTCAGGGAAATATATGAAATACAGCTCAGAAATATCTTTGCCAAATGTTATCGAGATAGGTCCAGATTTGGATATGACTCCCATATATATCTTTATTTGATTTCAAATTAATTTTGCACCAAATGGGCAATACAAGTCCGAATTTAAAAGTACAAATGCGTCGGCATATTTAGTCCTTTGAACTTTAAATTACAATTATAATCATAGCGTGTATGATTGAATTCTCCCATAAAAACTTTTAATTGTTATGTGGAATTCTACTAAATTAGCAAAGTGGTGTAGGTATCATAAAGTCGGCCCGTCCGACTTTAGGACATTCTTCACTGGTTTTTATTTGTGGTGGAGAAGAGATCGGGGAGCTGACTGAGAGCTGGGAGCATGCTGAACTGTGAGAAGGGTTGTAGAAAACGGCCACTTTACAAGTCGAACAACCTCAGTCAATACTGCCATTTACTCAATACATGGAACGATATAAATAAGTCAGTTTGCTTGTAAATTTTATAGGATTAACTCATTATTTCGTCTTTATTTTTGGAATGTTTGTAATGAAGAGGATATGTGGTTCTCATTAGTAGCACGCATGTCTACCTAATTGTTGCTGGTTTAAGTTTTATTTATTTATTATTATTATTATTATTATTTTTTTTTTTTTTTGAAAGTCCGATTTGAAAATCAATTGTTTGATTGATTTGAAAAATCAACAAGTAAAAAAGCAGTAAATTCGGCCAGGCCGAACTCCTTGTGTGGAATTTCAGACAATTCCATTCGAACTTGACCTGCCTGCATACAAAAGACAGATCTGTGCAAAATTTTAGCTTTTTTATGCGTTTTGACTATAGCGTGATTACAATAGACGAACGGACGGACAGGGCAGAATCGTCTTAGAATTTTACGCTGATCAAGAATATATATATATATATATATATATATATATATATATATATATATATATATATATATATATATATATATATATATATATATATACTTTATTGGGTCTAAAATTATTATTTCGATGAGTTACAAACGAAATGGCGAACTTAATATACCCTCCATACTATGTATTGTGGAGGGTATAAAAATTATTTACTACGTATCCCTCATTGATTCTAGTTTTGGTATAGCACTCATATAAATGTCCTTTAAATTTGGGTTCTTTCTCAATGTAATCTGTGCCCAATGGGTATGCAACCCTTTTCCCTGAAATTACCAGTAGCGGTCTACATTTCATGGTTGGTAAGCATATGATCCACTTTCAACACAATACTACATATCTTCAGCATTAATAGTAGATCGAAAATAATGAATTACTACCGTAACAAGTCCAGACGGTCCAGAAAGTAAATGTTCGACTACTCAACGGTTGCAAGGCTTTGGGAAATGACACTATTTTCCACCCTTTATTTGAGTTGTTTGATTTTCAAATAAAACCCCCTTCAAAGTTCTCTCCCGTTATGTGCACATTTTTCATTTTCCCCCACTTTGACCCAATCTAATGTTGGTGTATTGTGTTTATAAGCCTTATGTGGACCGATGACTGATGTTCTACGATGGGGGGTGCATAAACGCTATATTCTTTTGATAATTTGTGGCTTTGATTCTCCTTTTTTGTTTTGGTTTGGTTTTTTGGCAAACTGACTGTCTGCTCGCTCACAGACCACGTTCTACCTAATGAGACTTTTAGCTATTTAGTCTGGCGCTTCGCAATTCTCATTTGGTCGAATGAGGAGTGACGTCATTGTTGTGTACACCGATTCGACTTGGTCCCGATTCTATCAGGTCTGTTCGCCGTCACAACACAGACAAACAGACTAGACCGACCAGCCATTTCCATTGTCGGTCGCTGTCATAGTCAGTCATCTGGTCGTGATGGCATGGTGCCCGACGCTTTCGTTGGCGTTGACGTCTCTGCTGCTCTGTGTTCATTGATTCTATTCAATCTATTTGGTTTCGTAGTGACTCTGAGCTCATCGCAGCAGTAACGGAGCGCAGAGACCCGACAGAAAGTGTGAGTGCGAGACAAGCAAACTGCTGGGTGACTGCTACACTCGCTTTAGTTTGTAGATGAACAGCAAACGTGAAAGATTGAAAAGGCCTTTCGAAACGACAGTCGCACGGTTAACCGGTTTTTCATCTCGTCCAAACGAAGTTACGACCAATTTTAACATTTAACAAAAAATACGGAAAATAAACGAAAATAAAAATACCTAATTAAAAATTGCAAAAGCTATTAATAAATTAATTAATTGAAGAAGAATATTTGACTAATCTGCAAAAGAAAAACAAAACCGAAATCAGATAAAATGGGTTGTGCCACTACGACAGTGAAAATTTCTTCAATCGCTTTCAATATTATTTTGGCGGTAAGTTTTCAGAATCAGAATCCGTAAAAAACGAATGGAGGATGTTCATTAAAACATATGTATGCTCGATATACGTATGTACATATAACGGACTATATAAATCAATATTTTTGTTAGTGAAATTTTCTAAGAACATCCGCATTTTTCGTTGAAGTGTCACACGGCCAAACAAACACCATTTCCCTTGTAAACGTCGATTGTATTTGAAAATTTGTTGAACATTCTAAATGAAATGTGTAAGAAGTGGGCAGGTCTAATTACAGTTAAAAATTTTACCTACTACGAGGAAAAATATTTTGAAAATGGTTCACAAAAAGTAGTGAAAACTGTGTGAGAAAATAAAAAGAAATGGGGAATAAAAGTGCGAACTTTTTTGATTCTGTACCAATTTTAAAAAGGGTTTTTTTTCTACAGATCTAAGAACTAATTCCATCGAATTACTGCAAAACACTTGTTTGGTTCTGAAGTTATGGAAGAAAAAACAAATCAGTAGTGCGATTCTCAAGCTCATTTTTTGAGTTTCCGACAAAAGTCGGTTAAATTAAAATGCTTATAATTTCGGTACTTAACGAAATTTATCGGTAAGTTATCGACAAAATATACCTTCCGATAAATACCAATGTTGTCAACCTTAAATTGATTTTTTATGTATAAAGATTATGGGTTTCAAAGCTACCAATTTTTGTTGGTAACTTATAAAATGAGTTAGAGAATGGTACTACAGATCGACATCTGTAAACATTTCGGACAACAAAAAGCTTTCATACACAATAGAAAAAGCCAGCTTATTTTGAAAAAACCTCTCATTAAAATTTATAAATTTATAAAAAATATGATGTACACATATTTGTGTGGACAAATAGGTGTGTTACAATTAGGTCTAGGACCGAAACTCAAACCCTATTTGTTCAAGGAGTGGTTATTATACATTTGCAAGCAACTGCCTTCACTGCGGTGGTGACCCTAATCCCACAGAACACATCTGGGATTTGTGAGACAAGAGGATTGGGTAGCATGAATGTATTTACTTATTAATATTCATTGTACTAAAAAAGACCTAGTACTAAAAAACTTAAAATACGTTATTTTCATTTTTTCAAATATTTAGTTTAAACGCATGTAAAATTTATTGGTGTGAACTACTGAGTTTTGGATTATTTTTTGTTGTTTCTTCATAAACCTTAAAAGTGTGAATTTGTGTTCCTAATAGACTTAAAAAAAAACAACAAAAACAACAACGAACTTTGAATGCCCTTCACCATTTGGACAATTGGCAATTGGCAATTTGACAATTTTCAAAAAAATAAAATCAGTTCCAAATTCTGTTAAAATCTTAAAAATACCAAATGTAGCCATTGTATTAGGGTTTATATGACGACGTGGAACTGCATAGTCATGTTTTGTCATAAGTCATTACAATAATCAAATGCGAAACTTGAAAAAAAAATTCTGTGAATAATGTAGCTGAAATCATCAAAATACCGAATATAGGGAGGTACCGCTATATGGGGGTTATACGAAGACGTAGACCTGCACAGCTATTTTTCTGTCTCAGGCTGTAGTATCCATTATAAACTCCAAATACAAAATTTAAAACAATTCCGGTGAATAATGTCGCTTAAATCATCTATACCAAAACGTGGACCTACATGGCCCATTTTCAATATCAAAAGTCCTGCAGCCATAATACACATTTGAGCAAAATTTTATCAACCTACTTCATTTTGTTCGGAAGCTTAAGTGGTTTCCACTGACGGACAGACGAGCGGACATCGCTAAATCGACATGAATTTTACGCTGATCAAGAATATACTTTGTGGGGTCTAAAATGTATAGATCGAGGTGTTACAAACGGAATATACATTCCAATGCATATCACTGGCTCAATACTATGAGTGTAGTGTGTTCGTAAACTTTATTATCTCACTGTAAATATATCGCCAGAATATTACCACTTTTTTGTGCATGTTCAAATAATGGGTTAATAACATAATTTGTGATGAGTATTTTTGCTGGGAAACTAAGCGTATGCAGAGTCTTTTCAAACTTCATGCTTAAATGCCGATTTTCTCACTTGCCACTCTTTTGCATATTTGAATGATCAATAGGTGTCTCGTTGTGATGTCATTGAGCCACGGAAGCGTGTTAATTTGAATGTTTACTCAAAGCTCGCATCAGTGATGTTTTTGAACAATTTAATTATTGGACGGAGAGCCGAAGTTTGATAACACATCACCGAAAATCATAGCACTGTTTTTACTCAGAACTTTCACGATGGCCTTACTGTTTTCCAAATTCTGATTTTGTTACTATTTTACTGTGGTAAAATTAAAAGGGCAACTTAAAAAGGTAAGGTAAAAATTTTGATACCCTCCACCTTTGGGTAAAGGAAACGTTGTTATATAAAAGTATATCTGAATTTAAACGTGTTCCACTTTTAACTATATATACTGGTAAGACCGTTTGGGTAATGCTGTTAATCTTTAAAAAACAGAATAAAGTGAGTGAGGCCGTTCTACAGGGTGAGATGAAAAAACTGCAACCAGCTTCAGACTGCTGTCATTCCTAAGCCACTCGTCCGACAGCTGTTAAAATTATTTTAGTGACAGCTCATTATATTGTTTACGAGCGTACAAAAGCATTATGGTGAAAATTTTCAAGAAAAAAAAGTTATTCGTGATAAAATTCAAGCGTGATAGTATGATTTCTTAATATTTGGCTGGAAAACCACAAGTGCCTATCGTTGAAGCACTCCAGCTATTAAATGGGAATAAATCTTTTGTGTCTCGTACCATCGCTCGTTACCGTGATAGCGTAGTCCGACGTCAAGGAAGTGGACGGAAGAAAACAGCAACATCAGCAGAAACCCGCGTCGCAGTGGCCGAAAAATGGCTCGTGAGCTGAACACATCTCAATATTCCATTCGGCAAATATTGAAAAATGAGTTCGGAGTAAAGCCATTGAAGTTCCAAAAAAGAGCAAGAACTTACACCGCAACAGAAAGAAAATAGACTCAAAAGAGCTAAAGAGTTGCTTCGCTTGGCCGAAAGTGGTGAACTGCCGAATTTGGTTTTCTCCGATGAGAAAACATTCGTTGTCCAGCAGTTTGTAAACTACCGAAATAATCGTGTTTACTCACCACAGAGGTCAGCTGAAAATGTGCACCTTCGGTTGGCCACCAGAAGTCAAGCGCTGGCCATGGTGATGGTGTGGGCCGGCATAAGAGCGGATGGTCGCTCTCCGCACGTATTAATCCACCGTGGCATCAGAATAAATGCAGAATTTTATCGCGAAGATATTCTGGAAGGTGTATTAAAGCCTTGGGTACGCAAACATTTTGGCCGCTCAGCACCATCAGGGCTCAGCACCATCACACTCAGCACGTGTCACCCAAGAATGGTTACAGAATGAGGTTCCTCGCTTCATTTCCAGCGCACAATGGCCACCAAAATCTCCGGATATCAATCCGTTGGACTATTGTGTCTGGAGTATTTTGGAAAGCAAGGTTGGCACTAAAAAAATACCAAAGTGTCGATCACCTCAAGCAAGCGCTTCGCCGGGAATGGGTCAAAATCCCGCAGAGCAACATTCAGGCAGCGAGTGATGGCTTCATTGGCCATTTGAAGGCCATAATTCGTGCCAAAGGTTACCAATTCGAACAAATCTAAACTTATTCTAAAATTTGATGCAATTTCCGATATTTGTTGCCTTCATTCAATAAAATTAAAAAAAAATGTAAAAATTATGGCATTTGACTGTGTTGCAATTTTTTTATCTCATCCTGTACCCACCACCAAAACACATCAAAACAACTTTAGTTTAAAAAGTCAAAATCTATCGAAGCCATAAGATCGACCATTGCGAATATTGAAAAATGTCGAAAAGTCTAAAAGTTGACCTTTTTCCTGAACTATATCAATTGCATATTTTAAGATATGTCAAAATATGAACGTTTCTGCACACCCTTTTTGCAATGGGTATTTGGATATTCTGAATGCAAGCAATTAACATCCCCTAAGGTAATTTTTATTCCTTAATGTATTAATCTTCTTCTCATTGAAATCAAAATATTTGCCTATGGAAATGGTGTTAAGTCATCTTATTTAGATTTGTTATTTTCGTATGGCGAAATAAATACGAAACATAATTTAGATGACTTTGGGAGTGTGATGTCATTTTTAAACAAAGCACCACAACAACACGAACAAACAAACCTTTATAACTTAATTGACCAACAACAAAAAAATCAGATTCGAGAAAAACACGTCGCTCACAGGGAAGTGTGGCATCCAACTGGAAATGTCAAGGAAGATTCACACGAATTGAAGGCTGAAATGTGGGTCAGGCGGCAGGTGCGCTGTTGACAATTCCATTTTCCTTGGCGCCTCATGTTGCTTCTGCTTTGTTGCTTTGCATTTTTTATTGTGTGTGGGGGGTTTTATTTAATAAATTATTTATTTGGACATTTTCATTGGGGATACACGGTGGCGCCATATCCATATTGTCCAAATAATAGACATTGTTGTTGTCGTTGTTGTTGTGGGCGAATAGAAATTGTGTGTTTAAGACAATCTATCAAATATCGTTTAATAATGGGGGTCATTTAAAAGAGAGAAGTTGAGGGAAACTTAACAATTGAAATGTCCTTGTAATCCCAAAGTACGAATTAGCCAAAAAACAAGTTCTATTGTTATTTCGTGACTGATAATCTCCCAAATATATTCAAACGCACACACGCACACATTCAGTTGTTTATGTTTAATGCCGGTCTAAAGCCGCTTAACAAAATTTGCATTCACATGTCTTGTTTTTTTTTCGTTCTGTTTCGCAAAAAACTCGCACGAAATATAATCGTAAAACTGTTTTCAATATCACCAAAACAATCGATATAAATGGCTAATACTACTATCGTCATTAGAATTGGTGTCTTTGTCTGTGTGTGTATTGGTGTATTGAAATTTGATTGTCTATCATTTCTTCATTACTACTTGCCAATAAAA